CCCTTCTACTCTAAGGGAATGTATCAAGTGAAGCCGCCATTTAACCCATCCCAACTAACCGTACCGGTTTCTTTTGAAGCTAAACTTGAAGATATGAAGAACCAAATGCTAGAAGCTTTCGGCCAACACAAGAAAGAGGTAAACCAAATAGTGGAAAGTAGGTGTTTGGAGCTTAACACTAAGATCGAGTCTATTGTTACTCATCTCTCTAAGATGGATACTCAACTCGCTCAAACCTCGGAAGCCGTTCGAAGACAAGACGAAGAGAAAGCAATGAAGTTTTGCAATGTTGCCTTTACTAAGGAAGAGGAGGTCGTGGTTACTCCTAAACCACTTGAAGAAGAGGTTATCTTAGTCCAAGAACCTAAAGAGAAACGCCTTCCCGGCGAATCTAAGAGAGCTTACAAGAGAAGACTAAAAAGGATACCTTTGGAAAAAGTTGATAATCCGGGGAAGCTTGTTTTGCATGCTCTATTAATGGAAAGGAGATCCACGATTGCTTGTGTGATACTGAAGCAAACGTCAATGTCATGTCACTAGCCATGGCAAAGGAACTTGGATTGGCCGATTTTAAACCATCCAAAGTCTATATAGGGTACGCCGATTTATCATCTTCTACCCCTTATGGAGTGCATGAAAACGTCATCACTGCAAGAAAACACAGTTTTAGCGTTGAATATTAGCGTCAATTTTAAGTCGACGCAAATATAGCGTCGTCCTTTTGTCGCTATCAAATTTCGACGCAAAACAGATGCTAATTTGGGACGAAAAAATCGACACTAAATCGACGCTATATAGCGTCAATTTAGCATCGATTTGTCAGCGACGGTCTCAGTTCGACGCTAAATCGATGCAATATTAGCATCAATTTAGCGTCGACCCACTAACGTCGGATATTGCGTCGGATAAGGTAGCTAGGTGACACGTTTTTAATGGGTTCACCTACTTCTTAAGCGGCGGTTGTATTCGACGCAAAAACGATGCTAAATCGAAGCAAAATTGACGCATACTATTCTGATGCTAATGCGATGCTAAAGTTTCGATGCAAAATCCCTGCTAAAAGCTCTTGTAAATACATCTCCCCAGGTGCACACTAAACCATGAAGTAAAAAAAAAACTTTATGTTCCAAAGAAAAAAATATTTGTACCAAATTTTTTTGTTATATTTTCTGACTAAGATGGGCGATATATACAAACTAAGAAGCTGGATGTATCGACATAGAGGTGAAATTTTCAACGGGCTTGAAATTTTCATGGCTCAAGCGGGTAGTGTGCCTACAATTCAACGGACCGGAGT